AGGGAACTGATATTTAACGGCACTGAGTGTGTGCCCAGTGATTTATCTGCATTCTTCCATTTAGCCCTCAAAACAACTCTGTGAAGCAAATAATTGTTATCCTCACTTTACAGATGAAGAAACTGAGGTTCAGAGTGGTTAAATAACTGGGTTAGGGCCCTTAGCTAGAATGATGCAAAGCAGAACTGATGCGCAGGACTCCTACATCAGACACATGGATGGAGACCATCAGCCAGGGCAGAAGCCTCTGAGGATGTCTCCCTTTTAGATTCTGTTAAAAGCCATGAGTCTTCCTTCCAGAAAATGAACTGTGCATCTTTACTCACAGTTTTGCATAAACTGTAGACAGTTCATAGACTTTTCTTGAAGCCCATCCAGAAGCGCCTCAGTTAAGAGCCCCTTAACTAAAAGAATGAAAGTAGCTATGGGCTTAGCTTGACCGGCTATCCAAGACACCTTTGTACTGATTTTCCCTATTAGACTGAACACTTATGCTCACAGGATCACTCCATCTTTAGACTCGCCAAACAACAGAATTGTGTATTCTTGATTTTATAAGTTCATCTAAGCATGGGATTATAAAATTTTTGATTTCAGAATCAGAAAAAAATCTTAGAATATCAGAGCCAGACGGGACGACGGTTGAGATCAAGTCCACCCATGATGTCATTCTACAGCTCTGACAGGTTGAAGTATCAGACACCGAGGCTAAGAAAAGGCAGGGCTTGCTCAGGGTTCCCCTAGTAATGGTGGTAGAGTCAGCATTCAAACCCCGGATGCTGGCTTCTGAGCCAGATGATCAGGTTGAAGACTCACCCAGTAAGAGGAAAGCTATGCAGTCCTTATGGGGGTGAGAAAAGTCGGGGCAGAAGGAACATCTGTTGAGTACATATCATGTGCCAGGCAGTGCCTGTGGATTGGAGGTACATGGCATCATTTCACTCTCTCAAGAACCTTGCAGAGTGTTATCACTATTCTTTCCTTACAAATGGGGAAATAAGCGCAGAGTGGTGAGATAAGCAGCCCAAGGTCACACAGCGAGGGAAGCACCAGTGACTGTGTCCGTTGTTGCATTTCCCGGATGGAGTGGAGAAGGAAAGTTGGAGAACAAGTCCCTGATAATGTTTAGCTGGTGCTTTTCCAGGGAGAAAAATTAAACTGACAGATACATATGTTCTGGTGGGCGGAGAGGTGGACGCGACTGTGGGCCCGAGTGCAATATCCCTCAGGATTCCCTCCGCCCTGAGTCCTTCACTGGCCTTCCTCTCACCCAGCGTGCCCTGGATAACTAACATGTCCTCTGCGTACCCCAGCGCGAGAAGGGCTGCTCTGGGGTGCAGACGTGAAAACCCCACCATGCGAACTACACATCCCCGCTCCGAGAGCCAGCTGGTGCTGTGAGGCCAAGGCCCTCCATTGTGGTGACTCTACCAAGACCCTTTGTCCCATGAACCCTACCAACAGGGCCATGGCCTGTTGTTCCAGCAGCCCCTTCTTCACATGAATGTAGGTCCTCATTCATGGTCACATACACCTTTTGGATGTTTTAACCGACAGTCACTTAATATTGAAAGCTGATGGTGCCGACTCACATACATTACTTCATTTTAACAACTTGCAACTCAGTGAGGTTTGGTGCTATGTCCTCCCATTACAGATGAGGCCACTGAGGTCCACACAGATGATGAAACTTGCCCAAGGTGACACATCTAGCAAGTGGCTGAGCCAGGATTCAAACCCAGATTTGTTTCAGTTGAAAGTCTGCTTTTTGCTCAATGCCCCATTTTTCATGACTGTCTCTATTTAATTCCCATAGCAGGGATTAGGAGAGCGAAGGTTCATGGTCCCTCTATGAAGGGGACAGGCTCACCTTGTGGAGGGTACAGGACTTGCTGAAGGGCGCTCTCTGGGATGATGCTGGTGCTGTCATCACAGTCCAGGTCTGGAGGACTTCCTCCCAGACCATAACTGCCATCTCCATCAGACCATGTAATTTCTCTGTGATTGGGACACAGAGCCAGTAGCCAACAAAAATCAAAATCTGTCTGCCTCAAGTCTCCCTCTATTATGAGAGGAAACATGCATTTCAAACAAGAACAAGGTTAAGTCACTCTCATGTGATGAATGGGCCTGGCCTCCGTGGTGCAAGTCCTGGTTCCTCCTCTTCTCTCCAGGTGATGGAACAAGGCAAGGCAGCTCCGATGGCATTCTGGTCTGCTAAGCTTGTGTGCCACGTGCACCACCTCGCTGTCCACCCTGGACTCCTTCCCATCACTAGCTCCTGCTCCCCACTGACACCCTCATCCCATCACTTACCAAATCCATATGTATGGAGTTCCCTGTTCTACAGACTCCCCAGCAGCCCCCAGGTTTAGGCTTGACTCATCTCCCCCTGGATTGTCAGAACAGCCTCCTCTGAGTGTCCTTGCCCCCAGTCTTGCCCCCTCTAATCTGTCCTTCCCACTGTGGCCAGAGAGGCTTTCCACCATATAGAAGGCTTTCCACATATACAGGCTTTCCACACCCGTAGAAGGTTAGAAGGTGTGAAACCCTTCTATTGCTCTCCATTGTCTTCATGTTCAAGTTCCAATTCCTCACAGCCCGCCACTTCAATGTCATCTCCTGCATCCAAAGTCCTTCAGCCATTCAGGACCACTTCCTACCTCCTACACACCTCCTTTCCTCCCCTCTGTCTTCCGTGTCCTTCCTCCCCTCTGTCTGCCACGTCCTCCCTCCAGTAATCCACCCCAACCCAATCTGGCTAATTTCTACTCAATCTTAAAAACTCAGCTTAGATGTCACTTCCACCGGGAAGCCTTCCTTGACCTACCAAAATTGTGCTTGAGTCTCCTTTTACCCTCCATATGAAGACATTTTTGTCTTTAGCATGTTCACTGCTACATCCACCGAGCCTAGAACTTACCCTGGCTTATGGCAGACAGTCATACGGATTTGTCACAGGAAATTTTCCCATGATGCTCTGGAACTCCTCTATTACAGAACTTACCATACCTATTAGAATTGCCTCTTTCCTTTTCTGTCTCCCCAAGTAGACCGAGAGCTCTGTGAGTTGGAACCATGGCTTTTTGTTGAGTATTTTACCCTGGGTGCCTCATAGGATTCCTGGTACGTACTGACCGTGTGTTTATTTTGATGAATGAGGACTGGGAGTTGAGGAGGAAATCTGGGCCTAGGCCAAGGGAGTGGCATTCTACGAAGAAACGCATTTACTTCCAACACAAAAGTGGGTGAGGTGCTAAGAAAGCACCTCTGACATCAGAAATCAACCACAGACTAAGTGCATGTCTCCCCTGGAGGGACCTATGGCCCTATCCCTATGTGAATAAGCATGTGGGATCCCCTCTGGCGTGCATGCTCAAATGCTTCTTCCAGGTAACTCCCTCAACATTAGGGGAGAGCAAAGCAGGTGCAGTGTGGAATGCCACCCATCGGTGTATGCAGGTCCCAGAGAAGTCATGGCCACACATCAAGTGTCGGGGACGGGGGAGGGACAGTGTGGCACATAGAGGTGGTCAGGGTCCTCTGCCTCACAGCAGAGCCTACTCCTTTGGCCTTGCTAGGCCAAGTAGTTATTAAAGCAGATTTCAAGATGACTGTCTCAGGCTTGGTGCCTGGAGGGAGGGGGACTCTCAGTTCTTATCATGATCTCTTCAATGTTCTGCTGGATCTGGAACACTGCTCTAACACCTGGTCTACCTACTGCTCACCCTTCTGTTGGGGGCCATCACCCTGCCTCCATGTACTCAGCAAGGGAACTGGACCTCCAGAACCACCAGGCTGCAAATGACTGGGGGGACTAGTCCAGAGTCATGCCCCCACCAGAAGGGAGGTTTTCCTGTACAGAGTATGGCAGGAATTCCAGAAACACTTACCAAGGTTGAAAAAGGCTAAAAGGAACACTTCTACTTCTGGGGAGAGAGAATATATATATATATATATATATATATATATATATATATATATATATATAGAGAGAGAGAGAGAGAGAGAGAGAGAGAGAGAGGGAGGGAGAGAGAGAGTTAATATCATCCATTTCCTCTCTCCTCCATCAACTGTAATTCTTTCCCTAAGAAAACTCAGTGTTAGGAGAGGAGAAATGGGTCAGTCCAAAACCAAGAGGATAAAGGAACACAAAAACTATCACAATCTGTCACAATCCTCATGCAATGACCTTGATATTAAAATCAACGCCCAGGAAACTAGAATGACTAAATAATCCCTAGAAAGTCAAGCAAGCTAGAAAGTAACCTCCAGTTTCATTACAACAAGCGTGGGGGACTTTGGAGAAATTTTATGACGACGTTGAGAGGAAAAGCAGTTTGGTGAAGGAAATGCCAAAGCAGAGAAAGATGTGCAGAGGATGGGAAGGAGGGCAGGGCAGACAGAGAGGAGGCACGGGGAGAGAAAGAGAGGACAGGAGGTTGGAGAGAAGAGAGAAGCCAGGAGGGAGGGGACATAAAAACACAGAAGATAGAGCTAGAAGGAGAGAAGACAAGGGGAGAAAAATGGGTACAAGGAAAACTGGTGAGCAGAGAGAAGAGAAAGAAGACAAGAGTATAAAAAGACAGAAGGTGAAAAGAGAAGGTATAGTTTTACATGTTCAGCATTAGAAGGAGGAGTCAAGACCACCCAGGTCTTCCTCAGCAACCCGGGGGATGGTCCTCCAGCCTGTGTGCTTACATACCTTAGATGGCAGAAGACTCACTCCCTCATGACGGCGTGGAGGGGAGACAGAGATGGGAGTAGCATGAGGCCATAGCAGAGGCAGCTGGGAAGGGGGGTGTCCATTACAAGGGCAAGGGCCAAACAGGACAATCCAAAGGTGCCACAAGCAGAACAGCCTCCATCCTCACCCCCGAGTGTCAGCCCTCACTGAGCTGGAGACCAGATTCCTGATCTGCTCATTAAATCTTGCCAGACCCGGGTACTCTCTGCAGGATGCGGGGCTGGCCCAGGGTCGGGGGGACTCGCAAGGATACAGGCTTCCTCAGTGTAGGGCACAGCGGCCGTGGTACCTCCGATGATGTAGCTATAGAAGGAGACCTCCAGGGTGTAGCAATAGGAAGTGTGGTCCAGTAGCCCACCGAGGAAGCGACGTCCGGTTCCTGCTTTCACAGCATCCCGGTTAAAGGATGTGCTGGACTGGGAAAGACAAAGCAGGGAGGAGAGAATCAGGGCCAGGCACCTGCTGGCTATCAGAGCTTGAGGAAATCTTACAACATATCCAGGCCTCAGCTTCCTCATCTGAAAAGTGGGATGTTAATCACACGTCACAGGATTATTGTGGGGACTGATGAAATAAACAAACAGAATTAAAAGAAAGCATGCAACTTTGGATAGTAACTGCCATTTAACAAATATTTGTGGGAATCAAAATGGGGACAGATAGAACAAGGGAAAGCAGACAGAGAACAAGGAGCAATGATACTATGATGATAATCAAAATGAAAATTTGGGCAGGGCTTTCAACTTTATAATGTTGTTTCCCACATGGCATCTCATTTATGCTTCAAAATAACCCCTTGACGGAGGTGTTGCAGCTTTGCCCCTCTGGGTGAGACAACGAGGCTCACAGAGATGGAGCAAGCAAGTGATAGAGCAGATTTGAACCGAGGATCGAGTGACTCCAGATGCCCCGACACTCCTTCACAATGCTCTCTCTCCATGAGGGGCAGCTGAACTCCAGCCCACCATCACCAGGGGGTAGGGATCATGGCTATTTCTCCACTAGGGTGTTGGCCTCACCCATCGTGGTGGACAGAGAGAGGACAGAAAAAGCAGGTTGGCATCTCAAGGCCTCTGTTCAAAAATGTGCGAGAGGTTAGGCAACTTGCCTTCTTTGGTTTAGCCTCAGTTTCCTCATCTGTAAAGTGGAGATGATAATAACATCTCTTCCATGGAACTGTGAGGGTGACTCATCTGTGGTTAAAGGGGGCATCTGTGCTAACCCATGAAGATCAAAGTAAATAAAGAGACTGTGGTTTTAATGAGAGAATGTGTGTCTTGTGAAGCAGGGTATAAGAGAAGAAGGAAAAGAGGGAGAAAGACAATAGCAAAACAAAGCAGGTATTTAGAGATACATTTAAAGGAAGAGAAATCGTGTGTGTGTGTGTGTGTGTGTGTGTGTGTGTGTGAATTCTGAGATAAAGAAAGGGGTCAGAAAATGAGAATGTCACATCTTGAAGTCCATGGAGGGAAGTCATTTTAGAGTCGGGTACTGAGGGTCAGAGAAGAGGGAGACAGAGACTGGATGATGACAGATGACCTTGACCCTAGCCTTGAGCCCTTAAGGTGGCTGCAGTACAGGAACATCAATAGGCAAGGCTGGAAAAAAAGCTCCTAGACTGTGCCCCTTTTGTTTGCCCCAGGAACCTCACCCCTGTGAGGGTCTCTGAGGCCTGTGGCCCAGCCTCTTGGGGAATGTGGACCAGGAGACCACAGTCTGCTCTGAAACTGCAGTGGTTTCAAAAAGCCTGGGGCTGGCCATCCCGTAGATGCCTACAGAAACAAGCGTGCTGTTTCTACCCCCGAGATGCAAATGGGGAGCCACCTGCTTTGATTCTGCGACCAAATGCTGAGTGACTTCTCTGGGCCATAGGTGTCTCTTGGGTGAACAAAGAGAAGACTGAGCCAGTTCCTTTCCTGGCCTGGCATTCAAAACTTCTGGGATTCAAAGTGCATCTTACTTCATGGAGAAATTCATCATCTCCACTAACGTCCAGGCCTGGAGCAATGGGCAGGGAAGTTTTCAGCTCATCAACTTCAGAGATTGCTGTGACCTTTGTGGGACTCTCCCCCTCTGGCCACATGGAAGTAACAGGCCTCAGAGATTTAGTATCAAAACAAAGGAAAATGTGCAAAAACGCTCTCCCATGTCCCCACACCACACGCTGATTCTCCTCCTTATGTTCTCTCCTTGCCCTTTTCCAGTACTGCTTTTCGCTGCAAATTATTCTCACTGCTGAGTCTTCCTCAGCATGTGGGGTGGGTAGTAACAGCCAGTCTCTGGGGTCTGCTGAGGTCTTCACTGTCTGCAAACTCCTCTTCCACCTATTACTACCTTTGTCCCCGCAGGAAGCTATGATGCGGGCAAGGCAGAACGTGATCACCCACAAATTACTGACAAAGAAATCGAGACCCAGCAGCGGTCACGGAGGGAGAGCGTGGTGGGCACACGACCCTCTTCAGCAAGGGGTGAGGCTCCTACTAAAAGAGCTGGATGAGGAGAAAGTAGACCCCAGACCCCGGGGCAGGGGCCAGCGTGTGGTGGGTGCTTGGTGAGTCCCTTCTCTTGCTAATGCTGGGGTCACATCAACTGAACAAATCCCAGCTCCTCAGAAAGACCAGGTGCTGCCTTTTCCAAGACTCTCCCCCCTGACTGGTGAGGAGCTGCTTGAGGACATGGGCGTGGCTTGTTCACCTCTATCTTTATCACCCACACAGAGCTTGGCATGGAGCTGGCGTTCTGAGACTGTTAAACCAACTGAGCTGAGTGAAGAGGAAAGGGAGGGAGCTGGGTGGGGGCTGCTGAGAGAGAACTCTTGACCTACGTAGGAGAAATCCTCAGCATTCTGGCAGAGGAGCTTGGGGAAAATGGCCTGCCTCTGGAATCGTTCCTCATCTTCAAAGATGTTGCCGTACATGAAGCCATTCATCATGGTGGAGTGGGCGTGGATGTCAATATAAAACTCCAGGCTTGTTTTCTGTTGAGAGGAAGGATGACAAATTAGAAGTCTGGGGTCACAGAGCTTGCCTTAAAGGACCAGACGTTAAATATGGGGTGCACGCTTCCTTCCGAGCTGTGGCTATGTGTCAGTGGATTTAGCACTCATCTGCAGTGTAATTGGAAGGGTTGAGACTTGCGAACATCAATTTCCCCTCACTTTTAACACCATCTGCCCTCGGGGTCTGAGAGCACTACCTTTGGCAGGCCTCTTCAGAGTTCTGAAGAGGTGAGGGTTTTTTTGGGTTAAGTCAGATGTTGCTTACCCAGAACAGTTGATACATTCATGACTAAAGGCACTAGCAGACTCTGTTTTTCTGATTAATGAGAAATACCTTCAGGTAACACAATTGTATTTATATTGGACCTGCTTGTGGGGTTTGGGCCAGACCAGGCCATTTCTAGCTGAGGCGGCCTAGGGGAGATCGCGGCCCTACAAAGAGTCTCAGCTTTTGTATTTGACAAATGGGTTATTTTAATTCCAACCTCAGAGAGTTATAGTGGGAACCAAGCACTGCAATGATGATTACTATCATTTACTGAATATTTTAATGCATGCCAAGCACACTTCTGGGAGTTTTACATGTAACATATTAATTCTTTTATTTAACCTCATTTCATGTTGCCACACCTGCTCCCCAATAATATATAAATTGGGCATGGAAAAAATAGTACTTGTACTCTGTAAAGATGATTCCGACCAGTCTTTCTCTGCTCTCTACTTACACATATTTGAAGCATTCCCTACCCTGATATGGTATCATTTGCAAACATTCCCATCTACAAGTTCCCTGAAGGTAGGGAGATGTCTGTAAAGAGCCCAGTGGCTGGACATGAAGGGTGCTCAGGAGCTGCACACAGAACAACTGGACCAATGACTCCAGAGAGACTGTCCAGACACCAGAATGTACTGGCAAGAGTCGGGGACGTTTTTGGCCCATAGATCTTCAATGTCCCTCAGATCTGACCTTCTCTTCCTATATATCAGCCCGATGTATACCTCACAATCCTTTCTGAGAGTAACAGAGGCTCCAAGTGTGAGAGAAACTTGTCTAGCTTGGCATAACTGATACTGAAACCCAGGTCGCCTGACCCCTGGCACAGTTAACTTCTCACCGTCAACGGTTCAACTCTAGAAATGGCCAAGGCAAAACCTGGCCACCTTTCCATCCCCTTTCTAGCATGTATTCCTGGGAAAGAAAGAAAGTCTGTGCTTGGAAGGATTCTTCCTCCTTGGGACCCTTTCAAATGAAGTTAAAACCAAATGAAAACTGTGTTGCTTCTAGAATGTGGGCCTGATGACTGTCATTTCATTTGCCTCTGAGTTGGAGTGAAAAATTATGTCTTGCCGAGCTCCCAACTCTCTAGGTAGCATAAGCTGTCTTTGGAGAGACACAAGATGCACCGCACTGTGTGATATTAAACTCATCATTTTCAGCTTTGGAGGTGGAATACACAATGATTCAACAGGAGCCCTATAAAAGTCATCTTCGCAATTTTATTTTCTTCAATTGTCTGTCTTTTCCTCGGAGCTTTTGATGAGCTGCCGCGCAGAGGAGGAGGCAGAGAGATGACTTAAGAAATGTGTAAGGAAAAGCTGCCGTTTCTATCTCTGGACATGGGCTGGAGAGGGCCTTGGAAGTCAGCTGCTCTGACCTCGTTGGGCTCAGCCTGGCCCTGTGCTGGGAAAGGGGGCTACTGCTTGCTGATTTGCTGGTTCTTCTGATAACACGTTCTGGAGTGGCTTCTGCTGCCCTATCCTGACACCTGGCACCTAATGTGATTTCACTTTAAATAACCAGCAAATTATATTGATTGATTTATATGGTTCAAAAGTCAAAAAGATAGGAAAGGATATATAGGGAGAAGCCTCTCTATCACCCTTGCGAACCTCCAGGCACCTGGTTTCACTCCCCAGAGGCAACTCATGTCATCAGGTTCTCCTGCATCCTTCCAGAGATACTTTAACACAAACAAGTAAATATCCATCCCCCACCCAACCCTGCCATCCCCAGGACACACAAATGGGGGCACATGGAACACACTATTCAAATCTGCTTTTTTCTCCTAACATGTCTTGGAGGTAATTTTTTCTCAGTGCATAAACAGTTACTTCATTCTTTTTAATAGCCATATATAAACTATCCAGCCAGTCTCCTATTGGCAGACATTTAAGTGATTTCCAACCTTTTCCTGTTACCAACAATGTCTTAGTGATTGACTCTGAATATATGCATTTCACACATAGATAATTATACATAGGCTAAATTTCAAGAAGAATTTCTGGGTCCCCTGTGCATTTGCAATTCCCATCAATACTCACAGACTGACCTCTTCAGAAAGACCACTTTATATTCCTAGCAAAATATTACAATGTCTCTTTTGCAATTAACTTGACAACACGGGTGGAAGGAAACTTTTTGATATTTGCCAATTTGGTGGGAGGGTGAAAAAGGATATCTAAGATTAGTTTTTTGTTTTGTTTTGTTTTTTGTTTTTTTTAAGTAGGTTCCACACCCAGTATGGAGCCCAATATGGGGCTTCAACTCACGGTCCTGAGATCAAGACCTGAGCTGAGATCAATAGTCGGATGCTTAGCCAACTGAGCCACCCAGGCACCCCTAAGATTAGTTTTAATCTGAATTTCTCTTAGTATAATTCTCTTTTATTACTTGGTTAAGTTTAGGCTTTTCATACATTTAAGAACTGTTTGCATTTTGTTTTCTATGAATTGTCTGTTAATTTCAGCTGCCCATTTTGAAAGCTGGAGTGTTAGTCTTTATGTGTAGTACAAAAATATTTTTGCTCAGCTTGTCATTGTTTTTTGACTTCTACTAGTACTTTTTTCCATCCAGAAATTTCTAAATGCTAATTTTTTATACAGATTTATCAATATTTCCTTTTGTGGTTTCTGGGTCGAAATCCTTCATTGTTTCTTCTATTACTTTCATTATTTCACTTTTTACATTTAAATATTCCATTTCAATTTTAATTTACAGGGACCTAGGTTGTGAGATAAGGATTGTACTTTACTGTCCCACGCTGTTTATGAAATTGTGCATCTTTTCCCCACGGACTTGAAAAGCCATCTTTACCATACACATTTTTTGTATGTATTTGGGTTTGTTTTTGGACTTTTAATTCTGTTCTAGTCATTTATCTATTCATGTGTCAGTACTACACAGTTTTAATTATGTTAAGTTTATAATGTATCTTGTTTCATTTTATACTTTTAAGTGTAGTTAACATCTGTCACCGTTTCTACTCTCTTACAATCCCATTGACTATATTCCCCATGCCATACCTTTCCTCCTTGTGACTTACTCATCCCATAACTAGAAGCCTGTATCTCCAACTCCCCTTCCCTCATTTTGCTCATACCCTGCCCTGGCAACCACCAGCTTGTTCTCTATATTTATGGGTCTGTTTCTGGTTTTTTGTTTACTTGTTTGTTTTGATTTTTAGATTCCACATATAAAGGGAGATCATATGGTATTTGTCTCTATCTGACTTATTTATTTCATTTAGCATAATGCCCTCTAGGGCCCATCCACCCACATTATCACAAATACCAAGACTCATCCCTTTTGATGGCTGAGTAATATTCCATTATAGCTATACATATCTATACCAATCTTTATCCATTCATTTATCAACGGATACTTGGGCTGCTTCCATATGTTAGCTATTGTAAATAATGCTGCCATAAATATAGGGGTGAACATATCTTTTCAAATTAGTGTTTTATGATGCATTTTAATATTTGAAGGGCTATTATCACCTAATTATGCCTCTTTTCCCAAATTTTCCTGTATTGTCTTATATATTTTTCTATATGATATTTATAATTAGCTTGTTTAATTTTCTTTCTCCCCTAACCCCTGTCAATATTCTCAATAATATAACCATATTAGACTTTTGTATTACCATAGGAAGAATCAACTGTTTTGACTTGGAGCCTTCCCAGCCAAGAATATGTTTTGACTTTGCATTTATTCAAATTTCCTCTTGGGTACGGCAGGAAATTTTAAAAAGTTTTTGGTTTTGTTTTCATATAGACCATGAATGTTTCTTTTTGATGCCAAGGCAGTTTCTTGCTGCTGTAAATGTGATGTTCTCTTCCCTTAACTCTTCTAACTAATGGTTCTTTAAATATAAAGGCTCTTGTTCTTTTTTTTTAAAGTTTATTTACTTTTTTATAATCTCTACACCCAACATGGGGCTCAAACTCACAACTTTGAGATCAAGAGTTGCATGCCCCTCCAACGGAGTCAGCCAGGCACCCCTAAAGGCTCTTGTTCTTGACATAATAATTGGTACCCAATACTTCACTAATTCTATTATTATTTGTAATAATTTATCATTTGATTTTCTTGGATTTTCATTTGCTTATTCAACAAATAATCGCTGAGTGCCTATGATGTGTCAGACAGTGTTCTAGGCATTCCCTATGCACCAGGGAGTGTGCTGGGTACTAGGGATAGAGCTGTGAACATAACAGAAAGTCCCTGAGCTCAAAGAGTTTATATTCTATGAGGAGAGAAAGGGAATAAACAAATCAATTAATAAATACAAGATGTCAGGAGGCATTAGTGCCGTGGAGACAAATAAAGTAAAGAAGTGGAATAGAAAAAACTAATGATGTAATGTATGGTGATTAACCTAACATAATAAAAGAAAAGAAAGTAATAGAGGGTTCTGGAAAACCAGCAGCATGAATGGAGGAGGAGAGTTAGTCTTGAGGCTATCAGTTGGAAGAGTCTTCCAGGTGGAAAGAGAAGTAAATGCAACAGTGACATGCACTGGGCATGTTTCAGGAACAGCAAGGAGATCAGGATGCCTGGAAAGAAGGAGTGAAGAAAGGGGTTTGTAAACTTACCACCATAGGACTTCTATCTCCTGCCTGCCCACCTCCCAGTTTTCTGTCTAATTTCTTTTTCATGTCTAACCACATCAGGTAGTTCTTCCAAAACAACATTA